GAACTCTCTACACAACTAAGGATAACCTTGAACTTCTGATCCTCTTGTCCATACCTTCCCAGTCCTGGGCCTATAGGTGAGAGAGATTTGTGCCTGGTTTATGCAGTGCCGAGCTTGAACCCGCAGCTTCCCGAACAGTAGGCAAGCGCTCTTCCAATGGCCTCACCCCCAGCACTCTGCACTCGGGCAGATAGTTCTGCAACTATTATATGGATACAGTGCTGTGACCCAGGTAACTTGTCCAGGACTGGTCATTTCATTCTCGGCAAGCTCCGTTAACAGCTCAGTTGGACCCTTTATCTCAGCAACATCTTCATCTCTAAAGAACAAGAGGGGAAATAATCCTTTGAACCTATATCCATTGACCAGTCAGGAAACAATGCTGCTGTCCTTTACAGATACGATTCTAGAGACCTAGAGGTCTTCTCCATGTCTCGCAAACCCCCAAAGAGGAGGGGGTGAAACTCCTCTGCCATAGTCCAGCAGGAAGAACTTGAGCTGATTGTTGTAGGTGATTTACTCACCCTCCAGTGGTTCGCTCATCTGTAAGATGGGCTGATACATCCTGAGAGTGAAGCTCACTCTGTCGATACATTCTACCTGGCATCTTTATTCATGTCACCCACAAGAGCAGAGGGGTTCAGGTCTGGTCCTCCATGGAGTGCACAGGCTGATGTGCGTGCATGGGCTAATGGACGAGGTACCAAGCACAGAATGGCTGGCACCCAGTCTTTCAGATGCAGAGACCAGCGAGCAGCTTCTGTGCATGTCCACCTGCTTGCCCACTGATCCATTGCATTCTCCAAGACAGAGTCTGGGAAAGTGCTGGTGATCAAAAGTGCTGAGTTTCCAGCCGTCACAGCACGATGTCCATCATGAAGGACTCCAAAGTCCTCCGGGAGAATTAGTTAATAATCTAATCATCTTGGGCTGGAGTCGAACAGCTTTTCACTCTGCTTTTGGGCAGGAGCCCAGGTTAGTTTGGGTGATGAGAGACCAAGCCTGGTTTGGGGCTGTATGGGGTGGGGCTCATTGCTAAAATTCCTTCCCCCAAGAGAGCCGTAAAGCTGTGTCAACTACTTCTTCCCAAGGTCCCAATGACAAACTGAGGCATGATTCCGCCGAAATTCCCTCTGGGGGAACCAGTGAATTTGTTGGTCTTCCTTACAGGTCCTAGGGGAAGTTACTTACAGAGCTGTGGGTGCGCCTCCTCAGTGGGCTGCACCCGAGAAACCTTACTCAGGAGGGCTGAGGACTTCCCCGTAGCTGCATACACGAAGCCCAGTTTTCTCAGGTCTCTTTATGCTCCATGTCCTTTCACCAGGCAATGTGCAGCCGTGGCAGGTGCTGAGAGCAGCTGGATGCTTGGCCCCCCTATGCCAGGTGGGGGCGAAGGACAAATGTTAACAAGCCCAGCTGGGATGAATTTTTGCAAAGTGGGGTACAGTGAACTCCCCAAGAGGTGCTTGCTTGGGTCAGAGGACAGTTAGCACAGGGACTGACTTCCCAAGTGTTTTGGGTCCCAGACAGGTGTAGGTTGAGCAGTGAGCATTTCAGGGAGGGAGGTGTCACAGTGAAGACCTCTAGGAAAATTTCGTGTAACTGCCCAGCCAATGGAATAGTTAATAAAAAAGCATTTGATCATTAAATAACCTTATCACTAAGTTAAAAATAGTCTGTGGAGCCATAGGTTGTATTTTCTATGAAGTCCAGGTCAGAATACCAAAGGGGAATTGTGGAATATTTTTTATAAAGGGGGATGAAGGGCTAGGAGTGGCGGTGCTTGCCTTTATAGCAGGCAGCACTCTGGAAGACAGAGGCAGGCAGATCTCCAGGAGGCCTGCTTCTTGGCTGCACATACGGTAAGCTCTCTGGAGCCCTATTCAGATTGATGAACTGATTATCAGTCCGTCCCCACCCCTTCCTGGGGCCCCTCCTTAGGCTGCCCTGGAATAATCGTCCCTCAGGGTTGGAGGGGTTGAAGAACAATGCATACCCAGAAGGCACGTGCAACAAACATTATTTAAAGATTTCCGTGGAATTAGGTTTTTAAACTTGCTCTAACTCCTTTGAAACAATTCTCCCCTCCCCACCTAATGGGACTATCATACTAATCTTGCACTACCTCCTCCCAAATCATTCCACCCAGATGGGTTTTAAAAACCTGTTAGCAGCTGTCTCTACCTTTGGCTCAATTGGCCAGAGAACTCAAGAGTGTGTGTGAGGTGTGGAAGGTTCTTGAGGCTCTGGGAGCTGATCCCACGACTGTGTGGATAGCACAGGCTCCGTGGTTCTGACCATGGCACCTCTCCATTCAGCAAGCTCTCAAGAGGTTTAGAATCCTGACTTCATCAATACAGTTTAGAAGCCTGGTGAGGACTCACACCACACGAACTAAGTAAATTACACTGTCTGAACATGGAAATGTCAGATTCCATGACTTGTGCCGCCCCCCGCCTCCTCCCCCTTGCTTTTTTGTGTATGGTGTGGGGCGCATGAATGTGTGTGTGGTCACATGTATGTGCAGGCTCAGGACTGAAGTCTGGAGTCCTCCCCAATAGCTCTTCACATTATTCCCTGAGGCAAAGTCTCTCCACTGAACACAGAGCTCACTGATAGGACTCCATCTTAGCCTTCCAAATACTGGCATTACACAAGGGGCAGCCATGCCCACTGCCCACCTGGCATCTCTGTGGGTTCTGGGGGCGTGAGCTCTGGTCCTCACACTTGTGCAGATACTGTTTCCTTGGAGTCCGCTCCCCAGCCCTGACTGCCTCTGGCTGTGCTCCCTGCCTTTACCTATGGCTCCTCCCTCGCCCTACATGACTGCACCATCTCCAGCTTCTCCTCTAGTCCCGTCACCCCTGACAGCTCTGACTCAGTGGATTCATGTTCCTCATTCAAACCGGATTCCCAACAGCACCTAGTCCAACCAAGATCTGCAAACAGTGAGTGAACCGCTCAGAGGTCCCTGACCTCGTCTTGTTCATTTTTTAGCCAGTTTTCCAGCTTATTCAGATTCTGCTGGATTTAGTTTCTCACACAATTTCAAAGAAACCAGTGACTTCAACTCCCACCTAGGTGTCTGTGTGTACATGCGTATTATCATATGTGTGTGGAGGCTAGAGATTGACACCAAGTGTCTTTCTCACTGTCCCACTTTTTTTAATTACAGGCATATTTGTGTATGTGGGTATGACACACGTGGAGGTCAGAGGTCAATTTGGAGGAGGTGGTTTTCTTTCTGCCATGAAGATCCAGGGGATTAAACTTCAGATCATCAACAGGTGCTTTACCCATTGAACCATCTGGCTGGTTCTCCAAAGTACTTTTGGAGGGTCTCTTACTGAACCTCATCAATCTGGCTAGGCCGGTTGGTTCTAGAGACTTCTTTGTCCCCCACTACCCACACAGTGCTAGGGATCTAGCTGCCATAGGCTTTTATTGGGTACTGGGTCCTCGTTTGTGTGGTAGGCACCTTACCAACTGGGCCATCTCCCCCAGCAACCCCTCCCCATGTCTTGACAGATGAAAAGCAATGGGTGAGCAGAATACTCTAGTTTACAGCCTAGCCTGGCCTTGAGCTATGGAGCTTGGGGTGACCTTGAACCTCTGATCCTTCTGAATCTATGTCCCAAGTGCTGCGATTAGATGTATCTGCTTTATGTGATGTGGTACTGGGGATAGAACCCAGGACCGTGTGTGTGTGTGTGTGTGTGTGTGTGTGTGTGTGTGTGTGTGTGTGTGTGTGTGTGTAGTAAGCGCTCTATCAAAGTTAAGCTGCATCTACAACCTAACTCTGTTAATGACTAGCAGCATGAATGACCCAAGAACCTACAACCTAGAATAATTTATCAGTGAGGGGGTGGAGTAAAGAAAGGCTTTTTAAGAAAAACAACAGAACAAAGCTTTTCCTACGTAGCTCAGGTTGGTCCCTTTGGATTCATGACTCTCCCCCTCTGCCCTCCTGAGACAGTTTCATTCATATAGCCCAGACTGATCTGGAACTTGCTATGCAGACAAGGATGGCCTGGAACTCATGCTCCACCTGCCAAGTGTTGGGACACAGGTGTGCACTACCAGGCCTGCGGAGTCCTAGACAAGACGTCTGTCAAATATGTTTTCTTCCATTCAGTGGTTGTCTTTATTCTCTTGATATTGTGCCTCAATGCACAAAATACACTCAAAAACATATTATTCTTTGACAATTCCCAAGCAGGCCAGCTGTAGCTCTAACCTCTATAAAGAAGAGTAACTGTGAATTCATTTGCTTTCATTTTCTGCTAAAAAACCAACCTCCTAGGAACTCCTAGGAAGTGGAGTGTGGGTCAGTGCTAGAGTGTCTGGTTAGCACACACACAGCCCTGGGTTGAATTTAAAACCAAACCTTACAAAGGAATCAGGATTCTAGTTACAAAGAAAGGCAGTTTACTCCTAAACTGAATTTGTTCTAAGTGGGCATCTGACACCGAGGCTTCCTCCCCTGAGGCACGCCTTTGCCTGTGTGGTACGTGCATGTGCAGGTATGCCTGTGGGCACACACAGAAGCCAGAGGCTGACACCACGTGTTTTCCCAAATCACTTTTCCACTTCATTCTTCTGAGACAGGGCCCCTCACTGAACCTGGAGCTGTGTAAACCAGTTAGCCAGTGACTTCCCAGGATCCAGCTGCCTCTGCCTCACCAGCACTGGGCCTGTCCTCACACTGGCAACAAACCAAACCAAACCAGTTGCTGGGGTCTGAACCTCAAGCTTTTATGCTCATGCAGCACTTAGCCATGGAGCCCAGCCCCACACACGTGCTCCCTGTCTTCTGAGGGCTGCTTTTCTGGAGAAACAGACACCGAAAACACGTGGTTGTCTTGATTCTGGCTGCTTTGTTCCCTGCCCTCATGACACCTGAGCAGTACAGGGCTCTGACGAGGTACAACTCATTCGAAAATTCCCATTTACACAATTTAAATAAAAACACAATTAGAATTTTTAGTAGGTGCTAAAACTTGGTTTTGAAATTTTATTAAAAAAATATATTTGCAAACATATAAAATTTAGGATGAAAAATGCTCATTTTAAAACATGTAATAACTTAATATTTGCAAACATACACAGATGGTCTAAAATCCACACCACTAAAAAGGTGAACGAGGCGGCATTGCGCTCATGGAACAAAAGCTTCATGGTGGTGCGGGCTTCTCGTCTCCGCGGAGAAGCTGAGAAGCTGGTACAATGAAGTCATGAGAGCCACACGGCCAAAGCAGTACGAGGAGAGACCACTCACAGCACGGACACCAACACGCTTCTTCAGGATTCACAGCTCAAAGGGAAACACAACTCTGCATTTTTCCCACTTTGAAGTGATCAATATTGCAATGCAGCATTTTAAAGAATGATGTCAGATCTGAATCCACGTGAAACATTGCATCTCTCCTGCTGAAACTCGAAGAAAAAAACCAAAACAACCTCAAACCAAAAACCCAACAGGCTGCTTGAGGCCCTGGCTGCTCATGGAAACGCTCTCAAGCGTGGCCTTTGAAGTCCACTGTAAGGTGCTCTGCTCAGACCCCAACACTCTGGATTCTTGAAAACAGGGCACTGTGAGTTCTAGAAGGAACTCTGAACACAACTGAAGAAAACCAAAGGCAGGCAAGAAGAAACACACATGGCCCACAGAGGATGTGCCGCAAGGGCACAGGACTCAGGCCATGAGCCTCAGTCCTTGTCCCGCACAGGGTCCTGCTGTGCCCTTCTCTTCCCTCCAAGTTCCAGAGTGATGGCTAACTCTGCTTTGTAAGCATTAGGCCCCTTCAGTTTCACATTGCATTGTTAGTATTACAATGGCAGTTACTGCTCCCACTACAGAAAGGAGAACACTTCAAGCATTCTTTGGGAGAAGAGAGCAATACAGCTGCATGGTTTCCAAAGACTACTGACTAGTGGAGTCAACGGCTTTATAATCCCCACAAGAAGATTCAGGCCACAGACACAACGAATGCTCGCGCATGCAAACTATGGTCACTGGTATCTATGCCATGCCTAGGCCAAGGCCTTGAAAGAAAGAAACACCACTGTCCAGGGCCAACTGTGGACAGCCCATATGGAGACTGCAGGGGATGCCTCTCCCGATCCTGACGGCACTCAGAGTCAAGTAGATCAAGTGGCAAGTGTCACGAGGCCCAGGAGAGGTGTACAACTGGGAACAAGGCAATCTGAGAGGGATGGGGGTCGGCTGGGGTGTGCATCCATTCAAAGACGTAACATTAACTACAACGAAAAGAAGAGCAGTGTCACTCACTGGTGACACTCCAGACACACGGTACTCCAAACTCTTGGCTGCTCGTCCCAGATCCTTTGACCACAGGGGTGAGGGAATGGGATGTGTACACAGGTGGACAGAGTGGCCTAAATGCAGTCTCCTGGGCTCTGCCAACCTAGCAAGAAGCAACTCCAATGTCCCTTTCAGTTCAGCTAAGGTTCCAGCAAAGACACTGTAAACAGGCAAGCTCCGCTAGCAGAGGTTCTCGATCGTATGCCTGAACGAGGAATAAGGCAATGGAGCCGATTGTGAGGCCAGGCTCATCCAGCTGCAACTAGCCAAGCTTGGCCTGACTTCCTAGTAATCATGATCTGGAACTTCTGGCTTCTGAATCTGAAGTAAATGCTTGGAATATATAAATCTGGGAGTTGAAACAGGTTTCCCCTGTTCAAGTCTCCATCACTTCGGCACTTAGAAGTCTGTGTTTACACTGAGGAAGCCTTCCAGGAGATTCTGCTGCACTTCTGTCAGTCATTCCTAGGACTAGGGTGAGAAGCAACAGATCCGACTGCAGACACTCTTCAGGGTACCCATCTTCACCCTCCCAGAATATCACACACACTCAAAAGCATCAGCTAAGCTCAAACACCTACTGGAAGAAGAATGCTTTGATTCATCTGTTTGCTGATGTTCACTGAGACCACGCACGGGGTGACCAGACCTACAGTAGTGTCCACTTTAGGAGAACAGTCTGGTGGTTCCTACTGTCGGCAACAGATCTGCTCACTACAATTCTACCTTCCTTAGATGACGCATCAACAATTAATTTTTGGTTACTAAATTTACACACTATCATGAAAACAAACTATCCCTAACTGAGCATGAGAAGTCTAGGCTTCCCTGAATTCTGCACACTTCACATATAACTAGGTAGACAGCAAGAGAGAGAAGACTCTGAACTGAGAAGCAGAAACATTGTCCAGGAAGCATGTTGAGATCAGCATGAGCCAATCCAAGTATTCTTTAGCCTAAAAAACTAAGACCAAACTAAAATAAGTAGTTAACAAGTAATTCTCTAAAATTTCAGCTAGAAAGAAATGGATGAGCCTTTGATTGAGTTCCCATTAAAGCTTAAGTGACTATTCCCTTGGGACTGCCGCATCTGTCAGCACAGTCACAGAGAGTCCTTACATTAGCTGGCTGAGCCAACTGGGTTCCTACCCATCACTAAATAGTGCTCAGAAAAGTAAGCAGTGCATCTTAATTGGTTAAATACTACAAAATGACCTGTATCATAGAAACAAAGACACTTTTCATTCAAAGAATATCTCAAAATTACTATTGCTGAAATCATCAAATTCTACATTAAAATATTACTAAACACCATTACATGCCATAAAAGAATAAATAGAAACCATGGCAGATCAATAGCAGCATCACAAAGCATCTTTACAGTTTCACACTGCGGCTCAAGAGCTCACAGCCTAGGAATATACTGGTGAGGTTCTGCGTCTCCCACTTTGACTCCATAGTCTACAACGAAGGAAGAGCAGTGTGAGGACGGCCCCCTTTTCTGCATAGCTTGAAAACTGCTCTCAGCACATCTGAGGAATGGAACCAGAATGGCTTTGTCAGATTGGTCCACTGGTCCTTTTGTCAAAGTGTTAAGAAAAACAATCAACAAGAACTTTAACTGTTTAGACAGAAAAGAAAAATAAGGCTGTGCTTCACACACAAACTTGACACTTCCAAAGCACTGGAGAGTTTATTAAGAGCAGAGCCTCCGGTAGGATGTGGATCTGGGCAGTCCCAGCCTCTGTTTTCAAGGTTCCCAGCCTCCTCCACCAGAGCCCAGGCCGGCCTATCCAAACAGCCGCGCTTCACTTGAGTCTGCACACGGCAGGACCGGGACACTTAACGAAACACAAAGAAATCCCAGAAGTTTAAGGCCCAAGCGGGGTGCTCATAGAAAACATACTTCACTTGAACAAATACCTTCTAAAGAACCAACTTAATTCCGATCCTTAGAACTCGAAGCTACTTTGTGGAGCTGACATTCAGTTTAGAGCTTTAGGGCCAGCAGTGGAGAGAGGGCCTGGACTCCACTGGGCTCTGCTACAAGGCTGGTGGCCCCGCCCGAGGCCTGGAAAGTAAGCTGACAATCAGGCTCCTTATTCCACACCCCCACGGAACTCAACACAATGGTCTTTTCTGCTGTCTTTGTCAAACAAAGGTCTGCTGGTGATGCTTCACAGTGAAACCTCCATCATCACTGAGAATGTCTCTAGAAAACAGCCTTAAGGAACAAGGCTCTCTCAAAGGCTCAAACTCAGGCTTCTCAAAGCTCCACATTCTATTGAGATGTTCCATGAGGAAGCCTGCTTGTTTCTGAGGTGCACCCTCGACCTTCACATTGACTGTGCTCCAGTTATAGGTTGTGGTTGTCCTTCTTCTTGGTCAACACCTGCAGGTAGACTTCATGAAGTGTACTGAGGAAGCTAGAGTCATTCTGGAAGAGACGGGAGAGGTGGAGACACAGTGTCAGTAACCGCTTCAGAACTTACTTCAACTTAGGAAGACACAAAAATGATTGGTGTAGCTAATTCCCCCAATCCTCACCCCAGGGACAGTCATAACGACAGTCCTGGAGTTGACAGTTGTCATTCCACCAGGAGAAGATACCTGGGAAGAGAGAGGTTTCTCCCAGGCAGTTGTCTGAATTTACACTTTTACTGAGGTACAAAATGAAAAGCTAAGCTGACACCTTACATACCTTTATTAGATGTATCAGTGTGTCCTGGAGCTGAGACTTGCTGAGAATAATGGAAGGCTTTCTCTGATTTTCTGGTGTTCCAACAGTGAGGGGGGAGGGAGAGCTTGCTTTCCTCTCTAGGTCTATGGACCTGGGAACTGTTTGCTGGAACACACTGGGGGACAGCAGGATAGAAGATACTGCTGTGGTTGTTGCAGTAACCAATGGAGGGCCTGCAATCTGCAGGGAAACAACAGAGTAACAGTCACTTCGCACTGCTGTACAGAAGCAAACCCCTAGGCCCACAGAAGGGGACATATGGTGAGAGCTATTACCATGAGACGTCGCCGAGCAGAGTTAAACACTACTCTTTTATCCTCTCTTTCTTTTTAGAGAGGGGTGCAGCCCTTGCTGTCTTGGAACTCACTATGTAGACTAACTAGGCGGGCCCAGAATTCTATCTCCCAAGTGCAGGATTAAAGGGGTGCACATCACTCCCAGTCTCTTTTCTTTTTAAAATCTGTGTATTCCATCATGAGTTCCATGGAGCAGGTATGGAAGCCAGAGGACAGCCTTGGCATTGGTCTTCACTTTCCACCCTGTCTGAATCTGAGATCTGTTATTCGAGGCACTTAGCACGCCCCGCCCCGCCCGCCCACCCCTTTCCTTAAGATTTTATGTGTATGGTGCTTTGCCTGCCTGTATGCCAGAGCACCATGTGCATGCAGTGCCCATAGAGGCCAGAAGAGGGCGCTGGATCCTCTGGAGCTGGAGTGACAGCGGCCAGTGGGTGCTGGGAGGCAGAGGTAGGCGGATCTCTGTGAGTTTGAGGCCAGCCTGGTCTACAGTAGAGTGAGTTCCAGGAAAGGCGCAAAGATACACAGAGAAACCCTGTCTCGAAAAACCAAACCAAACCAAACAACAAACAAACAAACAAAAGAAACCAGCTTGATATGTGCCCAGCACCCACCCAGTTACAACTGAGGCATGATGGCCCACCCAGTGGCTGATCTGCTCGCTACAGTCAAGGCCGACATCTCTGTAGAGTTAATATAAGGTCTCTAAGCCACAGCATCTCAGGCCCAGAAGGGACACCTAGACAGGTTTTCACTAAGGTGCTCTTCAGAGAAGTCTCAGGGCTGGGGAAATGGCCTGGTGCTTGCTATGTCTGCCCTAGGTTAGCTTGTGAAGACCTAAGTTTGGATCCCCAGGAGCATGGAAACATTCTGGATGGGTGTGATGGCCCAACTAAGGAAGACACCCCAAGTCAGTGCTGGCCCTCCACACGTATACGTACATGTGTACACACACACACACACACACACACACACACACACACACACGGGGGTGGGGGGGGTGGGCTGGGGGAGGGGGTCCTTACCGGGATGGCACTGGGTAACACCTTAGACTGGGCAAATATTTCAGGATCCTGGTTTTGCTGCATAGACTGAAATGTTTAATGGGAAAAAAAGATGAATAGATACAGCAAGTTTCATGAGTTATTGGTGACACATCTATGTTTTCAACAAGGAATGGTCCAGAGGCTGAGAGACCTGTTGGCAATGCAACCAAGGACTCCTCCCCACACGAGCGCTCTGCACAGCAGCCCCCGTGGAGCTCCCCCGGAAGACGTGCAGGCGAACCCTTCAGGTGACCCCAAGAAGTGTGATGGGGACTGAAGTCAGAGCTCGTGCAAAGCAGGCAGACTCTACTAGTGAGCCATATCCTCAGTCCTGGGATTTGTATATCGAGAGCTGAGACTGGCCTTGAATTTACAATCTTCCCGCCTCAGCCTCTTAAGCATCTGGAATTTGTTGTTTTTTGGAGACAGAGTTGCTCTTTGTAGCCCTGGCTATCCTGGAACTTGCTCTGTAGACCAGGCTGACCTCGAACTCATAGAGATCCTCTTGCCTCTGCCTCCTAAGTGCTGGGATTAAAGGCATGATCCATCACCACGTGGCACTTTTTTTTTTGAGACTGAGTTTCTCTGTGGTCCTGGCTGGCCTGGAACTCACTTTGCAGACCAGACTAGCCTTGAACTCAGATATCTGCCTACCACTATCACCCAAGTGAGGGCATTGAAGGTCTGTGCCACCGTGCCTGCCTTTGGAAAATACATCACCTGTAAAAACGGGGATAGGCCGGGCCTATCTTGCCACTGGGTGTATATATCAAATGATTTAACAAATGTTTCCCCTGCAGTGCTGAAAGGTGAACTCAGGACCTTGCACATGACAGGCAAGTGGCTCTGCTACTATGTCCCCAGCCCCCATTTCTTCAAAGGTTGTTTGAACTTGGTTAGATGGCACTGAACAGCCTTCATCCTAAGTCACATTTTAAATGCTCACTTTTGTGAGAGGAAGAGAGACTTTCCTCTCTCTGTTTTTTTCTTCTGAGACAAGGGTAGTTCAGGCTGGTCTCTAGCTTGAGACTCTGCTGCCTCAGCTTTCTTCCTATAGGCATGCACTATCGGGGCCTTTGGGAAAGATGTGTGCTACACAGCACACACAAGAGAACTCAATGTAGACGAAGGTCTTTTGTTTTGAGACAGGATAGCCCTGGCTGGCCTGGAGTTTGTTATGTAGACCAGGCTGGACTTGAAATCACAGACTGCGTACTGAGACTAAAGGCATGTGCCACTATACCAGGCAAAAGCAAGATCTAAAAACCAGTTACTCCCTCTAAAGGACTATTTACACATATGTAAGTGGTTTCTGCCAGGAAGCATGCAAGAGTGTTGTGCTGTCTTTTGGGGCTGAACCTGGGGAAGGCAGGGGCAGGGTCACTGCCTGAGCTTCCAGATTAACTGAGCCAGGAGCAGACCCTTTGCCCTGAACAGAAACCCAAAGTACACTTCCATATGCTTCTTCTGGTGTTTTGTCACAGCAAAAGAAAGTATGAGGAGCACTTCAGGGCTGTGACATCTACCTCCGGAGCAGAACCCTGCCAGCAGAGTAGAATGCTCCTTCCTTTTTATGCGGTCACACCCACATGCTGAACGGTGGCCAGCGGTCCCAGGGCAGCACACTCCACCCCCTTCCAGCCGTGACCACGTACCACGCATCTGAACTCAGCTTGTTTCCTCACTTGTGAACTTGCCACTTATGAATTACTTTGAAGGGCAAATCTCTCCTCTCCCTTCTATACCACTCTACCATGAAGCCTTACTGACTGGATATTTTAAAAATCCACTTGTCCACACTGCCCAACCCAGGCCCCTACTGCTCAGGCCCAAGTGACCATCAGCTTGCTCTGTCATGAATGGCCTGACTCCGTCTCTGTCATTTCCAACAAGGCGTTCTTCATTCAGAACCTTTCGGTGCCTTCTGAGGCCTGAGAACAAAGCTCAAACTCCTTAACTGACAATTTATTCATCTTTCAATGCCAACTCCCCCAGGGTGTTTCCACAGCAAATTCAGTTACTTCAGACCATGGGGCGGGGGTGGTGGTGGGGCGCACACAGACACCTTTGGCCAGTGCACAAAATCTCTCCCTCTTCCTCCCCCTGTTCCCCCACCTTCTCCTATCGTTACCTGAAGGGTTGGAGCAAGCACCATGTTGCTCAGGGAGGCTGAGGTTGCTGCTCTTGCTGCTGCCGTCTTAGAGGGGGGCTCTATGAAGCTCTCAGGGGTGGCCAGCTGGCCAGCTGCTGACGGAAAGCTGGGTGCCGCGACACCTTTTCCAAGCGGCGGGGCCTGTATTTGGTCATGCTGTGGGGTCAACCTGAGTTTCTGGAGCAGATCAACGCTGGGGAGGGACGTGCCAGTGGTGCCTGACAGACTCACCGGGGGTCTGAAGGGGCTTAGCTCAGGAACTGGCTGGCTCAGGAGTGGAGACTTCTGTCTAGGTGTGGTCTTCACTGCTTGCATCATGGTGCTATTCCGAGGTAAGTGAGGAACCTGTGTGGTAGGAGCTTCGGCTGGCAGAGTAGGACTGAGGACAGGGCTCAGTGGGACTGTGTAGCTTGGGGCGTGCTTTTCCCCCGACTGTGCAATGGAGGCAGGAGTGATGAGCACCGGGGCGGTGACTTCAGGCTGGACTGTGTGGTGAGCCACAGAATGGACACCCAGGTTTTCAGACTGTGGCCCTCCCCCTGACTGCTCAAAGGGAAAGGGGAGGAATGAGCTGGGCTCCTTCTGCGATCCATCTCCGGGCGGCTTCTCCACGTCTTCTGACTCTAGACCCACAACTGTTGGTTGCTCCTTTGGCAAAGAGGTTCCAAATAACTCTTCTACTGTCAGATGTTTGTGACCAGATGGAGCCGACTGAAAAACAGATCCAACGACAAAAATGAAAGAAATCCCTGCAGATCAATGTAACCCAAATGCTTTCTCATGATGCAGAAGCCTGAAAAGCAAGGACAGAGTGTGAAAACCGCCTGGGGTAACCTAGGATGCAGCAGAGCTCAACAGCTTCTATCAGTCTCTCCAGGTCCGAGGATCGGACTCTGCTAATAACCAAGATCTGTACTGTCGAGTTCCAGGAAATCGGTTAGTTTACTTTGTTCCCCTTGGTGAACGTGGCTAAGGTAAGGGGCACTTATATTACGATAAAGCTCTAATGTGCCTAAGTGCCCACTGTTACTAACACACTGGCACATGAAGCCAGCACGACAGGGGGACCAAATTCTAAGAAATTCACTTTTACTGTTCTTGACAAAAAGCTAGCATTGAACTACACGAACCTAATACCCCAAACAATTTTAAGCATTTATTACCAGCCTTTCCTGCTCCATGCCCCCAAATCACAGAATCCTGAAGCAAACAAAAACATTTACCCTGGAGACTGGAGCTAGGGAAGCAGCTCACTGGTGAGTCTGCCCTGCACGTGCATACGCACAGTTTTTATTTTTCTTCTTCTTTTTGCTGTGGTCTTAAAGTTGAAGTGAGATTCTAAATCTGGAATGTTTCTTTTCTTTCTTTGTATTTTGAGACAGGGTCTTTCTACATATTCCTGACCTGAAACTCACTTTATAAACTGTAGCAGAGGAGCCGGGCAGTGGTGGCGCACGCCTTTAATCCCAGCACTCGGGAGGCAGAGCCAGACGGATCTCTGTGAGTTCAAGGCCAACCTGGTCTACAGAGTGAGATCCAGAACAGGCACCAAAGCTACACAGAGAAACCCTGTCTCGAAAAACCAAAAACAAACAAACAAATAAATAAATAAATTGTAGAAGAGGAATAATAATAATTCACATGGTTCAATTTCCTCATATTTTTACTTCTCCAAAGCCCAGTATCTAAGTAAAAAATACCAAGGTTCAAGTCAAGTATTAACTGGAAAATTAACACAATTGTAAATATAAAAATTACATAACCATATACACAATTATGACAATTATTTTGCAGTTCGACTACCAAGCTATGTACACCTCAGATCTTGGGATGTTTTATATTTTGGGGGCATGTATCCAGGCTGGTCTTGAGTTTTTAACAATTCTGCTTCATCTTCCTGATTGCTGAATGCCCGACAATTAAAAAAATTCTTTATGATAAAACAAAATGGTTCACGATTGTGTGACATAAAGGACTTGGATGTGGTAGTTCATGCCTGTAACCCCAGGATGGGGAGTGGAAGTAGGAGGGTTAGTCTGAATTTAAGGTAAGCCTTGGCTACATAGTGTGTTCCAAATTGGACAACCAACCAACCAACCAACCAACCCAACCCAAACCAAACCAAACCGAAACAAAAAGCCTAACAACTTTACTCAGCACCAAGCTGGGAGAGAGCACAACAGCAACACTAGAACTCAGGAGACAGTGGTAGAGGATCAGAAGTTCAAAGGCACCCTCAGCTACCCACCGAGTTCTTGGTTAGATGAGCCTATCCCCTAGGAGCTAATGCAATTCTGTCCAAGTGAATGTAAACAAACAAAACCAGTTTTTTGTTTTGGAAAGTACTGGAAAGCAATTTTCATATTCATTAATATAAATTAATGTGGAACATAAAAATCATACTGTTACATATATATACTAATGTTTAGAGATTCCTATTTTGAAAAATGAAATATTAGGGCTAGTCTGCAGAAATTTCAGGTAAGAAATCATACTTCTATGTTAAAGAATGGGAATAATTAAATCGCATGAAAAAACAAAAAAAACCACACCAGGGAAATATTACCAAGAGAATTTAATAATTATGAAAGTGAAATTCATTTTTTGTAAGTTGTACTTGTGGTATACATACAAGTTCATTCGGGTGTACACGTGTGCACATGTAGGTAATGTGCATGTATGTGGAGGACAGAGGTCAATGTCAGATGCCATCCTCTATGAACCAGAACTCACCTATTCAGCTAGAGCAGCTGCCCAAGGAGCTTTAGAGGTCTGTGTGTGTCTGCCCCCTCAATGCTGGATTAAAAGATGAGCGCCACCAGGCAGAGGTGGCGCACACCTTTAATCCCAGCACTTGGGATGCAGAGCCTGGCAGATCCCTGTGAGTTCGAGGCCAGCCTGGTCTACAGTGAGTTCTAAGACAGGCACCAAAACTACATGGAGAAACCCTGTCTCGAACAAAACAAAACAAACAAAAATAAGAGTGCCACTGAGCCCAGCTTTTTATGTGGGTGCTGGGAATCCAAACTCTGGTCCTCATGCTTGCACGGCACCACTTGTACAGACCTCAATCACCTCAGCGGCCCTCATGAAATGGGGTTCAATAGCAAGGTTTGGCAGCATCATCTGCTACTCAGCACTAGATGGCAGTGTTACTAAACAGATGCAAGATCTCTGCGTGAGCACTAGATGGCAGTGTTACTAAACAGATGCAAGATCTCTGTGTGAGCACTAGATGGCAGTGTTACTAAACAGATACAGTATTTCTGTGTAAACACTAGATGGCAGTGTTACTAAATAGATATAGTATCTCTGTGTAGGGGCAGATTAAGGATTTGTATTTGTTTTAGACAATCACACAACTTTTGACAATACCCAAATCTCAATACTTTAGAATTCCTTGATTTTAGCTGGAAAAAGGTACAATTTTACTTTATTTCAAGTTTTTGAGACAAAGTCTTGCTATGTAGCCTAAACAGCCTTCAAAGTTGGGATTTTCCTGTTCAGCTTTGCACACTTGTAATCCCAGTGCTAGGCAAGTGGAGACAGATGGGTAACAGGGACTTACTGGCTAGCCTAGCTAGCCTTGGCAAGCTATGGGCTAATGAAAAACTCTGCTTAAAAAATAAGCTGGGCGGGTGGTGGTGCATGCCTTTGATCCTAGTACTCGGGAGGCAGAGTACTCTGTGAGTTCCAGGCCAGCCTGGTCTACAAAGCTAGTTCTAGGACAGCCAAGGCTAGGTAGAGAAACCCTGTCTTGAAAAACCAACAACCACCACCAAAAAAATAAAAGGTAGATGGGCGCAAAGAATCGCATTTGAGGTGGTTGTGCCCTCCACATGCACACATGTGTAAGAGTACCTGCACACATATGCGCACACTTCCCACACTCTCCCCTAAAGCAAACAAATTTGTGGAGCTGGGCATGTAATCCTAGACCTTGGGAGATAAAGACAGGATGATCAGAAGTTCAAGGTTGATCCTAGGTTATATAGGAAGTTTGAGGCTAGCCTAGTCTATATGAGACCCTTTCTCAAAACAAATGAAAAACCAAATGATTCATTGGTATACATATGATTGTAACATAACAATCTTGTTAACATGTATAATGCAAACTTAGAAATACTCAGATAACTCTTAACAGCCAAAAAACTGCAAATAACCTAAATATCCTTTAATAGGAAAATGATTAAAAATGGTTAAACTAGATTATAAAGGTTGAGCATTCCTAATCTAAAACCCCACAATCTAAAATGCTCCCCAAACCCAAATATTTTAAATCCCAATGTGAGGTCAGAGATGAAAAATGTACTTCATACGGTAAGTCACAGTTAAAAGCACACTGAAAAATATTTTGTAACTTTACCATCAAGCCACATCTATATGAAAAGCAAGTAAAATTCTGGTTTAGATTTCAGTCTCATTCTTAAGATATCTCACTTCTATATGCAAATGTTTTAAGATCTGAAGAAATCCTAAGAACCGTAAATGCTTCAGGTACAGGATACTCACTACGAACTACTCTCTCATTAACTTCTACAGAGCAGTCAGAAGGAACGCACTTGGGCTGGGATGCTGAGCTGAGGAAGAGCACTGGTCTACCATACATGGTTCAAACCCTCTCAAGGGGAGGGGGAAGCCAACAAATTCGACACATACAGCAACTTCAACAGGTCTCTGGGAATTATGCTTAATGAGAAAGACTCAGATTACATACTATGATTCTATTTGTATAACATTCACATGCTTGATTTGGAAAAACAGATCAGTGGTTAGCAGGGATTAAAGACGGGGTGGTGGTGGCTGGGCGTGGTGGTGCACACCTTCAATCTAAGAACTCAGGAGGCAGAGGTAGGCAGATCTCTGAGTTTGAGGCTAGCCTGGTCTACACAGCAAGTTCCAGGACAGTCAACACTATATAGAAAGACTGTCTCAAAAAACCAAAATATAAGAAAATGGAAAAGACGGTAGAAGGAAGAGGGCCTGACAGGGAAGTTAGTGTGGTTATGAGAGGGCCACACACAGGACTCTGTGTTCACTGATGCTGAGACAGTAGCTATCGTGACTGGTGGTGAGTACAGAAAGGCTCTCCACGGACACAACTACAGGCCGAGTGTGCACTTACACGTACAAACGAGAAACTATGAGCAAGATGGTGTGTGGCTTGTGTCGACATCCTGGATGTGATGGTAGACCACACTTTACAAGATGTTATCAATGGGAAATAGGAGATGAGAACATGCAATCTTTCTGTATTATGCTCATATTTTTATTTAGTATTATTACTGAGATAAGATTGGCTTTCCTTATCCAAGGTGGCTGGGGAAAGTTATGTAATACAGCAGCAGACTGGCCTCAAACTCATGACCCTCCTGCTTTAGCCTCTGAAGTACTAGGATTACAGGTGTGCACCACCACATCTGGCTCTTTCTATCCAACTTATCATTTAATATAAATGCAATTAATACAAAGAAATAAACAGAAAAAAATTTAATGACTTAATATCTGTTGTTTTATCAGATCATCAATTATAAAGAGAACAAATCAGTTCAATAAATGTTTATATTCCTAGGTGCTAAAGACACAACAGTGGTACAAAGTGACTTCTAGGGCAGCCAGGGTTACAGAGAAACCTTGACTCAAAAAACCAAAAAAGACACAGCATTGAACAGGGAGAGAAAATGGCTGGTCCTGGGTGGGTGTGATAGTGCACCCCTTTAATCCCAGCACTTGAAAGATAGGGGCCAGCCTGGTCTATACAGCTAGTTCTAGGTCAGCAAGGGCTACACAGTGAGATCTTGTCTCAAAGAAACAAATAAACAACCGCAGGCCTCATTAGCATGAGAAGTGAAAACCACCACCAACAAATCAAACTATGCTAGCTAATTAAAGTCAGTGAGGAAACAAAGCAAGCAGGACAGACTAAATGGAGGATACTGCAGACCAGGAGAAAATGTACACACTCATGGAGAGAAGTCCTGCAAGCCATGGGAAACACCAGGTCAGAGGCCTCTAACGAGGCAGGGGCTAGGTGAGCAAGGCGGACAGTAGGAGCTGTTGGCAGAGGCAGAGGGAGGGGCCAGGTGCCAGGTGCAGTCTTGTGGGCCGTGACTATGAGTGAGACAGGATACTGCTGGAGAGCTGTAAAAGCAGAGGCATCAAAGGCCTGTTTTATTGGGGTCATCCTCCTCGTCTAGTTGAGCACAGAGAAAGAAGGCAGTAAGTACCAAGAGCAGGAGGCTGCTGCATAGTCTAGAGCTGGGTATATGTCATTTTGATGTCTCTCTCTCTCTCTCTCTCTCTCTCTCTCTCTCTCTCTCTCACACACACACACACACACACACACACGATCTGACAGACAAGTGCTGAACCAGCTTGCACAGTGGTTCAAATCCTTATAAAATGTCACTGCTTTGTTACTTTGACAAGGCTAGGCCTTTAACTGTACGAACCTTATCTTGTAACCCAGAGGGTGTCTCTTCTAGTGTCTCGGTGCTTCCCAGATTGGAGAGCTGAGTGCTTGGCTGTAACCCAGGGCTGGAGATATTTGAGCCGCCCATCTGATTCTTGGAAAAGAATTAAAAGAAAAAGTCTATCATGTGAAAAAGGATTGCTGTCTAAAATCTGGTTCACATTTGAAGTTATCAAAAATTCCTTAATTAAAAAATAAGCCAAAAAATCTCATGTTTCTATCAATTCTCATAACTTCTATAACAAAATTTCTATAAAGTGGAGAATCTATTTTACACATGGTAGGTCCAACTACTATGGTTTTATCCTTCATTTACTTTCAGGAAAAGATGCCATTATCCTACCAGATTTTCCCATGACTGAAGTGACACTGGACACCTTTAACTGTGGAGACACGGCTCTCCCTGGATGCCCACCTCTACAGGTAGGATGCAGAGCGCACAATGCAGAGGTGCTCTCCTGGGATGCCCACTAAAGTCATGCCCCTGAGCACTCCAAGAAATCAGTGGTTTCTTCTCTGCCATGGCTTTGTCTTTTGAAAACTGCTACATAAACTGGAATGGAATATAAGCACAGTACTGGCTTCTGACATGGCATAAAACCGTTAAGATTCATGCGAGCTCATTATAGAACCAACGGTTCATTCCTTTTAAAATGCTGAGCATATACCATTTGGATTCTTTTCATTTTTAAAGATTTTTCATTTGTGTGTATGACTGCTTTGCCTCCACACATGTGCATCATGTATCTGCCTGGTACCCAGGGAGGTAAGAATGGGGCACTGGATCTCCTGGATCTGGAGTTACAGATGTTGTGTGAGCTGTGGGTGCTTGGAACTGAACCAGTGTCTTCTAAGAGCAGAAGGTGCTCTTCAACCACTGAGCCTCCTCTCCAGCACATTTTCATTCTTAAACTATTAGTCTATGTGTAGTAATCACGTGTGTATGCATGGGTGAGCACCCATGTGGAAGAAGCCAGAGGAGGATCTTGGGTCATTGCCTTGAGACAGGGTCTCACAATGAACCTGGGCTCACTGTTTTGGCTAAACAGGTTGGTAGCAAACCCTTAATTTTTAATTAACCCCAAATCCTTAATCTTCCTGTTACCCCCACCCCCTCTAGCTGGGGGTACAGGCTGACACAGCCATGCTTTTTTATGGGGTGATGGGACCCAAACACTGGTCCTCATGCTTGCACACAAACTTCTTTACAATCTGAGCCATCTCCCCAGCCCCCATTTCAGTTTTCAATTACGAACACAGCTTGAATAACTAACTTCGTGTAGACCACAGTTTCATTTCACTGGAGGAGATACTTAGCAAAGACAAATCAGGGTACAGTGGTAAATACCACTTTAGAAGAAAAATACCATTTTCTTCTAAAAGTTTTTTTTTTTTTGAGACTGTCTTGCTATGTATTTCAGATTGACTTTAAATTGATCTTCTTGCCTCAGCCTCCTAAGTCCTGAGGTCACAGGTGTGACAACCACACTTGACTCGGTTTTTTTTGGGGGTGCACGTAGATGTTTTCTGTGTGCATGTGGAGGCGGGGGTGTGTGTGTGTGTGTGTGATGTCAGATGTCTTCAATCACTCTTTTTTTTTTTTTAAAGATTTATTTATTTACTATGTATACAGCATATGTGACTGCAGGCCAGAAGAGGGCACCAGATCTCACTACAGGTGGTTGTGAGCCACCATGTGGTTGCTGGGAATTGAACTCAGGACCTCTGGAAGAGCAGTCAGTGCTCTTAACCTCTGAGCCATCTCTCCAGCCCTTCAATCACTCTTTATTGAGGAAGGCTGTCTCACTCAATCTGGAGCTCACAGATGCTGCTATACTAGATAGCCATCAAGCCCCAGAGATCCACTGTCTCTGTCTCCCCAGCACTGTCCTGAACCCAACACAAGGGCACGTATGGGGAGTCTTAGGTCCTTATGCTTGCAGAATGAACACTCTGCTGACTGAACCACTGCTCCAGTCCTTAGGTGAACAATCTGATGTTTCTTTCCCTTTAGATTTATGGGCCAGTCTGAGCTGAATTTTGAGTAAAGATTCATTTTGTGTGGATGTGTATGCATATGGACACCCAATCATTTCAATACCACTTCAATTCGAACTTGCTCAAAGTGATACTGCGCCAGGCATGGTGGTGCATGACTTTGATCCCAGCACAACGAGTCAGAGGCAGGCAGATCTCTGTGAGTTCGAGTTCAGCCTGGCCTACAAAGTGAACTCCAGGACAGCCAAGGCTGTTACACAGAAACCCTGTCTTGAAAAAACAAAACAAACAAAAAAAGTGACACTGCAAGTGAAAATATTTTTGTTACTAAAAAGAATCTTTGGTTGGATATGTGGCTCACTGATGGGTGCCTACCAAGCACGCCCAAGGTCCCGGGCTCAAATAGCAAAACTGCAAAATAAACACAACGCAACATAACACACACAAGACTCCTTAAAGATGATCCCCGAGGAACACGCAATTACGATGTTTTGGAAACCTAAGTCACATTTTAAAGATTTGTTGCCTGGCTGTGGTGGCACATGCCTTTAATCCCAGCACTCAGGAGGCAGAGGCAGGCTGATTTCTGTGAGTTCGAGGCCAGCCTGGTCTACAAAGTGAGTTCCAGGACAGGCTCCAAAAGCTACACAAAGAAACCCTGTCTCAGAGGAAAAAAAAAAAAAAACAGTTCCAGCTTTTGTTAAGTACTGTCTATGTCAGGATGACAACAAAAACAACAACAAAAGAAGAAGAAACATGCTCAACAGAGGACTAGGGCCTCAAACATGAAATGAATGGATAGAATGCCACATTTCTCCTACTCAAATGATAATTCTCATATTAGTTCAGATTTTTTTTTTTAAAGACAGGGTTCCTTTAGACTAGCCTTATTATGTAACTAAAGCTGGTCTTGAACACTGATCCTCCCATTTCCACCTTCCAAGAGTTGGGATCATAGGCATATGATCCAGAACACATCCAACCAGTGTCATTCAACTGAATTAGGGTGAAAACAATCTGTAAAAGGCTATGAAATATTTTAATCTCCTAACATGCTGCTTTTTGAACAGGGTCATTCATCATTAATCTCTATCAACCCCACTATAAGGAATGATTGGCACTGAATATCAGAGGGACATAATATTGTCGAAGTACTTAAAAGCAGAAGGTATAATGCTCAGAAATACTAAAAATTGGGAGCGTCACTAAAAATCCAGATCTGTCATTTTTTCAGAGTGAGGCTAGATGATCTGGACACAGTAGGTCACCTGGTAATCACTGGCTGGGGCTGTACTCTAATGAGCCCTTCCACTTGGGGAGTAGGCAATGAATGGGCCTCAGTTCCACTGTGGCCCATGTGGCTCTTGAGTTATTGGACTTTGCAATCCTTAAATAGAACTTGTGAGATGATGTTGAGGTTATGGGCACCTCACTAACTGTTCTGAAGCACTTTAGGGCATTTTGGTACTTGTATAGGGCCTTTGTTGAAGGTTTATTTTCTGTGTTAATGATGGCAACCAGCCACAAAATTGAGGCCATATGTCCAATCACACACAAATCTGTTGGAGGATAATTGTACAGAATTTGGTAAAATCTTTGAGGAGGTTCAATCCCCAGTATTATAGAATGGTGCAGTGGCACACGCCTGTAATTACAGCACTTGGAAAACTGGAAGCAGAGGTTCAAGGGGTTCCTTTGCTACAACAATGAGCTGGAGCCCAGCCTAAGGAAAAACCTTTTCATCTACTAATTCTATTTCAAGTAATTAATCTCAGAAGATTAATGTGATATAGGGTGACTTAGTTCCAGGACTGTATTGCTGAAGTCTTAAGGAAAAGAATTAAGCCAGGCAGTGGTGGCCCATGCCTTTAATCCCAGCACTTGGGAGGCAGAGGCAGGTGGATCTCTATGAGTTCTAGGCCAGCCTGGTCTACAGAGCAGGCTACACAGAGAAACCCTATCTTGAAAAACCAAAAAAGAATTAAGAGAAATCTAGGCTATTATTTACGTAAAGTTCCAGTTGGGAATGGTGGTCCACTTATAATCCCAGCAATGGGAGGCAAGGGCAGGTAGATCTCTGTGAGTTTGAGGCCAGTGTGGTCTATAGAGTGAATTCTAGGACAGCCATGACTACACAGAGAAACCCTGTCTTGAAAAATAAACAAACAAATCCGATAATACACAAACCACACGCACTTGGACAGAATTTTGGAAGGACACATAATGAAGTATTATCAATGGTTATTTCTAGCTGGCAGAATCACTGTATTCCCTTCCTTTCGTTTACTAATTATTGAGCATACAATTTCCTAGAATATTATGCATTGCTTGCCTAAGAAAAATAATGGTATTCCTACATTTTGAAGAACAATTAAAAACTGTTCTTAAAAATTCCCGCCCCCCAAAACTTCGGGAAAAAACAAAATCAAAATCCAGGATTATGTCCTGTAGCTAGAAGCAATGCCAATTGGGTAGCTGTAAAGGTCTGTGGTTTTAGCTACATTTCATTACATGAAATACAAAAGTTGATAAAAAATAAACTACAAGGATTGTAGAGAGGAAATGCTTACAGAGTTTTAAGTTTCAACCTTTATAAATACTATGCATAATGCTGGGTTTGCACCAGTGTGGTAGTGTACAGTGTTTGTCTGAGGCAGAGAGGTGGGGGTGGGGGGGGGAGAGAGAATACAAAAGAGATAAGAGATGATTATCTTATATAAGCTGACTGAACAGGGAAGATTTAGAACTGGAATTAAATCTCATTAAACCTGAGGCTTGCTTATCCTCCCCCTGTCCTTGGTTGCCAATCTCTCAAGTCTATCCAAAAGAAACAGAGGGACCCTGCCTACATGCTGCTGGGGAGAGTCCATCCAAACACTAAGATCCAGGTCTAGAGTCACTTCTAACATCAGCTCCATACAGCAAAACAGGCAAACAAGAAAGAAAGCAGAACTGTCATAGGGAAGCTCTGCTTATTTGGTTTTTAAAGACAAACAAACAACAAATCCCTGTAAGTAAAATGTTAAAGACTTCACAAATCTTCAAACGTTTCATTTGATGAATCTAACCTTGGATAACATCTTGTGTATTCCAGCATGTTTTTTTTTTTTTTTTTTTTACAACAGAAGATGCTGGCTGTATGATTTGCTTTTGCAGTAATTGAAAATAGAAACCATATCAGATTTTCAGAATGCCCACTAGACACTAGAGTTTCTGGAGTCTAGAGGTTGAGCGCAGTGGTAGGTAGCACGCTCAACACTAGGAAAAGTGTTCAAAGAGAAAAGCAGCCTTCTTTCCTTTTGTGGTTTCTGCATCTCAGCCAGACAAGTAAGCCAAGACCACTTCTTCAGCACCTGTCCTACTCAACAGTATCAGTTTCTGTCTAATGGGTATTTTGATCCAGTCACCACTCAGGGTAAGTAATGATCAATACACCCACGTGACCACAGAGGTAATGATAATAGCACAAGGTATTACTATGAGAAGGGATCTATGGAAAATAAGTTAGCCTTTAGACCAAACCAAACAATAACAAAAAAAAACCCTCCAAACTTCAAATTTTATTTTTATTTGATTTTTTAATAATCATGATTTAGCTGGTTGGTGGTGGCACATGTCTTTAATCTCAGCACATGGGAGGCAGAGGCAGGCAGATCTCAGAGTTAGAGGCCAGCCTGGTCTACAAAGTAAGTTCCAGGATAGCCTGGGCTACACAAAGAAACCCTATCTTGAAAAACCAAAACCAAAAGAATACAATGTAAAACTGAATAGATAGCCAGGTGTGATAGCACATGCCTTTAATCCTAGCACTCCAAAGCCAAGGTAGGTGGATCCCTGTGAGTTCAAGGTCAGCCTGGTTTACGAAGAAGCTCCACTGTCAGGATTACACCAAAACAAAAATCAAGATACAAAATACTCCCCAAACCACAACCCCAAAAAGCAAAAAAAGCCACACCTCCAAACAAACAAGAGATAGAAAACACTGAATTTCAGAAAAGTGTCACATTTGAGTAATGAAGGGCTCAATTATGGAACACAAATGTGCCATTTACTATTATGGGGCACAAACCAGCAACTGATTTCAAAACCCACATAAGTCCTTAAGGCCATCTAGCACTGAACAGGACTGCAGGGGTAATGAGACACCACGACACTTTCCCTGAGATGCCGGCTTGAGCACCAGCTTCTGCTCTCCATGACCATTTTCTCCCACAGTAATTCTACAATGACTACAGAACAGAAAATGACTGCTAGGCTTTCCTCCCTAACCAGGCACTCTGAGGGAAGCAGATCCTCCTAAGTCTGGCAGGCTTGAAATCGTGGACTTTGTTCTTTTCTAAACTAAGGACTGCTGTGGGTGCTGGAGTAACTTGGCCCATCTCAAAGACTCCAGCAGTCCTCTTCCTCTCCTTTGGTATGCCCTGGGCAGTACCCAGAGAGCCTTACCCTCTCATACTCATCCTTGGCTCTGCTAAGCATCTCCAGGATGTCGATGGGCCTCTGGTCGCTGCAGCCATTGGCCTGGCTGGGGCTCTGTTTCTCTTGAGCAGCCTGCTGGGATCGCCGTGTCTCCTCTTTGACCACACTAGAGGAGGAGAAACAGGGTTCAGAAAGGCCACGTCACACAACTGGACTCCAGCACTCTCTTGTTGACTTCCCAAGGATAAAGTAAGACTGTCACATGACACTGTCCTTGCAATAGATAACAGGCCTTGGTTACCTAATTCCAGAAAACATATGACTTAACTATGTCACCATCTCAGTCACAACAGTGAACAGCTCCTTACCCTGAGAAAGACAAACGGAATCCCTTTCTGGAGATGGTACATTAAGAAACCCATTCAAGCATCTCCTTTTCTCCTACAAGTAACTCAAAACCAGTAGAACTAAGTGGTAAATAGACATTATAAGACATGGAAAATTGAACAGCGAACTAGTCTTGAAAACGGGGGTTGAGTTCTCTATAACCAGACAAAAGGATCTGCACTAAACTAGTAACCAAACTTAGGGTAGTTATGGGTATGTACTGTATTTTTATTGGCATTATTTAATTCTTCACTTTAAATTCCACAAGGCAAAAGTCTCAAGTTAAGAATGCCACAAAGGGCTGGAGTCTTCAGCTTTTTACAGGCTTATATTTTAAATAACACCCTTGGTTCCTCCTTATATCCTTCACCATAGGAAAAAAGATTTGAAGCAATTGAGTAATTTCAGTAAAATGTTAGGTTTATGTAAAATGTATAGATTTTAATAATGCAACTAATTAATCAATGCATTCAGATTTTAGTCACATACTGCGATGAACAGGCCTTCCTGCCATGAGATTTTATGGGTGCAAGTCTCACCTGGCAGTTTTGTTAACTGAGAACTCACAGACAACCATGACAGGGAGCCAAACAGCTCAGCAGCAAAAGGCTTATTTTGAAAGGACGTGCGTACAGAAGGAACATGAGCAGTCCTAAGGCTGGTCACTTAGTGTCTGTTAAGACAGCCTGCCCAAAACTAATTAGTGTATGTGTGTGTGTGTGTGTGTGGCAATGATGTTCACTGACACTAGGTTAGACAATACCACTTTTTACAAAGATAGAGCCAAGATCTCCCGAGAGATAGCTCAGCTGCTATGCAAATACATGCTTTGCAAGCACAAGGATCTGAGTTAGAGTTCCAGAATTTACAAAAAAAAAGGGGGGGGGTGGGGGGTGGGAGCTGCCTAAAATGATAAAGTGCTTGCTGTGAAAATATTAGGATTTGGCTCTCCAGCACCCATATAAAAAGACAGGAGCAGCAGAGTGCATTTGGAATCTAACTGTTGGGAAGTGCAGACAAGAGGAACCAGACCCTGGGATTCACTGGCCGGCCAGTCTATGTGAGTCAGTGAGCTCCAGGTTCAGTGAGAGAACCTGTCTCAGAAAGGTGAGGGTGACAGAGACACCTGACATCAGCCTCTGGCTTCCATCTGCATGTACGCACACATACATGCACACACACATACAGACACAAACACACACAAGAACGTGATGGTTCATGCTTGTCATCCTGCATTAGGGAATCAGAGACAGGTGGTCTCTCTAGGACTCACTGGCCAGCCAGCCTAGCTTATGTGCTGGGTTCCAGGCCAGTAAGATCTATCTCACAATAAGTAAATACAAAAATGAAATAAAATTAAGGATAACACCCAAAGAATGACACTTGTCCTCTGGCCTACACACACACACACACACACACACACACACACACACACACACACACACACACACACCAAGATATCAGAATCATTATGAGCTTTTTTTTTTTTTTTGAGATAGGCTTCCTATGTAGCTGAAGCTAGCCTCCAAAGACTTCTGCTTAAGCATCCTGAGTGTTGTTATTATAGGCATATACCATAACACCCAGCTGCCACTCTGCATTTATATATAAAATTATCATATGTGTAAGGGTGTTTTGCCTGCATGCATGTCTATGCACTACATGTGTGCCTAGTGCCCACTGAGGCCAGAAGAGATTGTTGGATCGATCACTTAGAACTTGTGGTGAACTGCCATATGGGTGCTGGGACTCAAACTTGGGTCTTCTGGAAGAGCAGCCAGTGCTCCCCATTACTGGGCCATCTCTCTGGCTCCCGTTCTAATTCATTAATTAAATTTCTGTTTTTGCTTCTGACTCACTGGTGCTGGATTACAGGTGTGTCACTGAGCATGCCTATGCATGCTCATGCAGAGGCTCTCTTAGTCTTTCCTAAACTGGGAAGCTCCTGTTTCCTCTAGGCTAACTGATCAGTGAGCTCTGGATTTGCCTGTCTCCACCACCAGTGCTGGGGATTACACCTCAGGTCCTCGTGCTCAGATACCAACTGTTAAATCCTTAGACCCACATGCTAAGATGTTCTGTGGTTCTGTAAGAAAGGTGAACTTGTAGATGTTCTCAAACTCTATTTGACTATAAAGTTCTTGCCCGCCTTACATTCTAGGCAAGTGTTCCACCATGGAGCAACATCCCCCGAACCTCTGCTGCTTTAGAGTAATGCAGTTTTTCCTTCTGGAATCTTAGCCTGTAAGAAGGTGATTACTCCCACAACAAGAACTGCAGTAACACAGGCTTCATGGTAGACTAAAAGAAGACGGGGCAGTGATACGAGAATCCAATCAACACCAGTATCGTATTTAATACTCAGCTAAAGGCCACACCACCCTAGCCCACCACAAGAAAGGACTCCAGCACATAGGCTTTTCTACCTACTTCCTTACTTGCCACCTAGCTTGGCCAAGCTGGTGGTCAACCCTTCCCTGACTTGGACTGGATCTGTGATTCTGGTTCAAAAACAGTATTCTCTAATAATCCCCACTGTTTACCCACAGAACAGACCATCTCAGGAAGCTAACTACTGCTGAAACCAAAAGCTGTTGTTGGGGTGGTAAGGAAGAAACTCACAAGAAAGAGGGCTGGCCTGAAGGTCTCTTCTAGGTCAAACTTAATGGACAATGCTCTCTGTGGCGGTTTGAGTGAGAAAGACTCCCATAGGCTCATGTATCTGAATGGTCTCCAGTTGGTGAAACTTTGGGAAGGTGTGGTGGTTTGAATGAAAATGGCCTATAGGGAGTAGCACTATTCGGAGGCGTGGCCTTGTTGGAGGCAGTGTGTCACTGGAGGTGGGCTTTGGGGTTTCAGAAGCCACGCCCAGTGCCACTCTCTCTTCCTGCTGCCTGCTGATCAGAGATGTAGAACTCTCAGCTACCTCTCCAGCACCGCATCTGCCTGCATGCTGCCATGCTTCCCACCATGACAATAATGGACTATAAGCCAGCCCCAATCAAATGTTTTCCTTCTTTTATAAGAGTTGCCATGTTTGGCTGGAGAGATGGCTCAGTGGCTAAGAGCACTGGCTGTTCTTCCAGAGGTCTTGAGTTTAATTCCCAGCAACCACATGTAATTCACAGCCATCTATAAAGGAATCTGATGTCCTCTGCTGGCATAAAGATATACATGCAGATAGAGCACACATATACATAAATCTTAAAGTAAAAAAGAGTTGCCATGTTCATGGTGTGTCTTCACAGCAACAGAAACAAACCCTAACTAAGGCAGAAGTATTAAGAGGTTTAGCCTCCTTGGAGGTGTGTCACTGGGTGTGGACTCGGAGGTTTCAAAAGCCCACTCTCAGCTTGTGCTCTGTCTTGTGCTTATGGAGAAAATGTAAACTCTCAGGTGAGCACAGTGGTGCATGTTTGACCCCAGCACTCATCTGGGAGGCAGAGGCAGTGGATCTCTGTGAGTTTGAGGCCAGCCTGGTCTACAGAGTGAGTTCCAGACAGCCAGGGCTATGTAGAGAGACTGTCTTAGGGTTCCTATTGCTGTGATAAAACACCATGACTAAAGGAAACTGGGGAGGAAAGGGTTGATTTGGCTTACACTTCCATATCACTTTTTTACTGGAAGAAGTCAGGGCAGGAACTCAAGCAGGGCAGGAAACTGAAGGTAGGAGCTGATGAAGAGGCCGTGGAGGGGATGCTGCTTGCCTTTAATCCCAGCACTTGGGAGGCAGAGGCAGGTGGATCTCAGCCTGGTCTATGGAGCAAGTTCCAGGACATATATAGAGAAACCCCGTTTTGAAAAACAAAAACAAAAAACCAAAACCAAAACCAAACTCCAAAAATGCACCCCCCCTCCCCCGCCAAAGAAGGGACAAACCAACCCAGGACCACCAGCCCAGGGATCAATCACTAATTAAGAAAATGCCCTACAGGCTGCATACAGCCTGATCTTACTCAGACATTTCCTCAATTGAGGCTCCTTCCTCTCTGATGACTCTAGCTTGTGTCAAGTTGACATAAAACTAGCAAGCACAGAGACCCTCAGTCAAAACAAAGCAAAATAGCTGGGTGGTGGTGGCGCACGCCTTTAATCCCAGCACTCGGGAGGCAGAGCTAGGAGGATCTCTGTGAGTTCGAGGCCAGCCTGGTATACAGAGCAAGATCTAGGACAGGCACCAAAACTACACAGAGACACCCTGTCTTGAAAACAGAAAAAAAAAAAAAAAAAAAGCAAAATAACAAAAACAAAAACCAGCTGGGCGGTGGTGGTGCATACTTTTAATCCCAGCACTCGGGAGGCAAGAGACAGGAGGATCTCTGTGAATTCGAGGCCAGCCTGATCTACAGAGCGAGATCCAGGAAAGGTGCAAAGCTACACAGAGAAACCCTGTCTCGAAAAACAAAAAAAACCCAATCCAAAACCAACCAACCCCAACCCCAAACAAACAAAGGTGCCCACATTGCTCCAGCGTCATGCCTGTCATGCTCCTGACATAGTGGTCAGGGAGCCAGCCTCAGAAACTGGAAGCCCCAGGACACATTTTTCTTCTATACGTTGCCTTCATCATGATGCCTCTTTACAACTGAAAAGTAAGGCACCCTTGCCTCTCTCCCTTCTCAAAGTCCAAAAACATGCACCTAAGATAGATCAAGAGTAGAACATACTTTCACAAGCTCTACAAAGTTTGCTCAGCCATTTCTGAGCAAACACTCAAAGTTTATTTTTCTTTTTTCTTTTTCGGTTTTTCAAGAGAGTTTCTCTGTGTAACAGCCCTGGCTGTCCTGGAACAAATCAGCCTGCCTCTGTCTCCTGAGTGCAGGGATTAAAGGCATGTGCCACCATGCCCAGCCTCAACATTCTAAGTTTTAAGGTTAAGTTTAGAATTTTGTCATTGACCAAAGAGAGCATTCAAATTTTAGATCTAAATAGATAAAGGTTAGATCTAAAATATAATAGTTTAGGCAGTCACTCAAATTTCCCACATGGCCTCTCAGCTTTAAGTTGAAGAATTTTTATTATATTGTGGCTATCTATCAAAGAGGTTATAAGAACTGTATCTAACAGAATGTGGACTGACAGACACGCTTTATTTATTGTGGTGCTGGAGACTAAACCCAGTGCCTGCCTAGAACATTTACCAAGGAACTTTATCGCCTGCCCAAAGTCACTTGTTTAAATGCACAAGATAGCTGGGTGGTGGTGGCTCACATCTTTAATCTCAGCACTCGGGAAGCAGAGGCAGGAGGATTTCTGTGAGTTCGAGGCTAGCCTGGTCTACAGAACAGAGTGAGTTCCAGGACAGGCTCCAAAGCTATAGAGAAACTCTGTCTCGAAAACAAAACAAAACAAAAACAAACAAACAAAACCCCAAAAAAGCACAAGATGTGGCAGTTTCAGCATTAGTCAGTGGGGTGATACTGACTGACATAGAGAAGAGAGGTATATGCAGGCAGGCAAACAACAGTGAAAGGCCATTGTCCCCCTTCTCCTTTTTCTTCAATTTCTGGTGACCAGAGGCATTTATCTCAGAGTTAGTGGTAATGTTTATAAGGCATTCTCTTCAGATATAAATAGGCCAAGCACTCAAAAAGTCACTATCAACTGGGCACACTTTTGGGGACACAAGGTCTCCCTCCCTTCTTACGTAGCTGAAATGTGCTATGTCACCCAGGCTGATCTTGAACTCACAATCCTTTCACCTCAGCCCTGGGATTACAGACATCTGTAATTGCTTTCAGTAACTTCCTTCAATTCCCATTTCTATTTCCATATCTCTTTCCGGGCTCAGTACAGTCTTCAGATGGGCCTTCAGTCTTCAGCTCTAGTTACCACTGAGGTTTTTAGTCTGTGGAGTGCTGCCAAGGCCCTCAGAAGAAACTTCAAGATGATTTTCCTTCAGTAGTTGTTAGGGCTCAAACAGACAGATTCTCTCGTTTGGGACTAAAGACTCTAACTTGGCAGGAGAAAATATCAATGTATTAATATAGTCCAAAGTTTAAATACATCTGCCACTTTTGTGATCAAATAAATGCCTTGGCTGAGGTCATGAGGCAGGGCCCCAGGAGCTCACTCAGCGCTAGCATGTTTGTGTTCTCATGTGATGATGCACTCCATTACTAATACAGCACGGCCCTTTTCCTCCCATGTTAGCCCACGCTCCTGACTTCCTCTGTCTATACCACACCATAGTCTACATGAGCAGAATAAACCTTTCTCTCTATAAACTCAATGGATGCCATTGATGAAAAGTAGTGTAACTCCACAGGTAAAATGTTTTAAAAGGAAGTGTGCTTAAGAAAGCCAACACTTCTCTAGTAAGACTGTCAGTTTACAGGCAGCAAAGCCCTCCAAGGTGCGACCAGCAGTAGCTTACAGCCAGAGCAGCCGACAGAACAGTGAGTGGATGGATACACGTTCAGTTAGGACACTCCAGCAGTCCTGGGTTATAACCTGATCTTTGTATGTGGACCTTCTAAAGACATGTAAGCACACCTAGAACTGAGGTCACTGGATTAACTATTATATTTTCATAGTTAAATAAATCAAGAATATTTTCCCCCAAATACACAGATACACACCTTGAAGGGAGTAACAGATTTTGGATTTGGTAGGAACAAGAGCTCACTGCAGCAGATTCGAGCAAGTCCTAAAGCAGCAGCCAGAAGACACCACCCACTGCAAACCCTGCTCTAGTGCTGTTGTCCCAGGCCCTGTCTCGCACTATGGTGTCTTGGGCTCCCAGAATTAAGATGGGCAGCCTTGCACTATGGTCACTCAAGAGGTGGCTTCTACAGGCTAGCACAAGGACAAGAAGTCATCCTTTAGATCATTGATTCAACGGAAATCATTTTCCAGACTTCAAGATTGTGAGTTTTAAATATCTTTTGGAAAACAAACTGTACACTAGGACTTGCTAAACCCACCCTGTGCTCAAACCAAGTTCATCTAAAGGATATGTAATCTGTATCGAGCTACCGAACACAGTGCCATTCATTACAGTAGAAATTGGCATAGTTACTGTATATGGTGGTCAGCCTATGTGTCCTGATGCACCTCATATTCTCTGCCAGGCATCTTGGCAACTGTTAAACTGAACTGTCTGTAGGACTGGATACAATGGATAAATGCTACAAAGGAAAATTTAATATCCTGAAAAAATGCTGTTGACATTAAATCATTAAACAAATGTTCTTACATTTGTAGATAACAATCACACACATCAATTTAATGTATACACAACACAGATTAAAAGGGAACAGACATTTGTAAATACACTGGATTAGTAGGATCATAGGTAATTTTTAGAAAAAAAATCTGCCTTTGTCAAACTTTTGGCAATAAAAAGGAAATTAAGAGGGATGTAAGTTAACGAGGAGATGATAGTACTGAAGAGAAGTTGGGGTCGGAGTAATGTTTTCTCTCTCATTAATCTATGAAAGAGATATACTTACTCAGCCATGAGTTTTGCTATGCGGTGACAGTCATTCTTGTCATAAAACCAGATACTGTATATCGACACTTGAAAACAAAGGAAAACAAAAAGAGATAAGCATAAGGTTTGCAAATCTGAGGACATGAACAACATAATACTGGATTTACCATCAGATCCTCAAATTATTAGTAATACCTCTAAAGAAAAAAAGGATTAAATGAAACAGAAAACTTCTCCCCCAGAAGTCCATTAACACCAGGAAAGGTAAAATATTCGAGATATTAACAACAAAAGCCAAGTGAGGTGTGTTAGCATATGCCTGTGATCCAGCTATTCTGGAGGCTGAGGCAGAGGGAATGCTAGTCCAGGGCCAGCCTGGGCAACTAAGTAAAGTAAGGCTGTCTCAAAATAAAATTAAAAACCAGTTAGGGCCGGGCGGTGGTGGCGCACGCCTTTAATCCCAGCACTCGGGAGGCAGAGCCAGGCGGATCTCTGTGAGTTCGAGGCCAGCCTGGTCTACAGCACAAGATCCAGGAAAGGCGCAAAGCTACACAGAGAAACCCTGTCTCGAAAAACCAAAAAAAAAAAAAAAAAAAACCAGTTAGGGATATAGCTCAGTGGTACTTAGTTCATCCACAGTAAAACATAACCCTCCCCCCCCACCCCCTGCTCCACACACACACACTTTGTTTTAAACATCATAATCTGCCACTAAATACCAATGTTCAGTTGGAACCTCCACTCACTCCTGCTTGATTCGGAAACCTCATTGCTGTTTCTCTCTCTTCAAACTTTGCCCTCTCAGAATCTCCTAACAAAGAAAAGGCACCAAAGCCCCGTTCTAAATTCTTGGCAACTATTGCAACCTCCTCCCATGTTGCCACCAGCAGCCCAAGTCCCCACCTAAAGCGTTCAGATTTTGACCATACTTGGGCACAAACCCAGCCTGTGGTGGACACATCATCACCCTGTATCTACAGCCTATATAATCTCTCTGCTTTAGTTCAGGAGTGTGGCTTCTCCAGCCTCAATCTCTGGGACTAGAGAACCCACCCCAAAAGTTGCTTTGCTCAAATAAACCTGTTGCTATACTTTTTCAATTCGGCTTGATCTGGCTTACTGTGTCGGCGGAGAAAACCTATTAATCAGATGCACCATTACTTATATATTATCAAGAAAGGCTGCCAATGAACTAAGACTCAATCAGTATTGATTTCAAACACGAAAATACAAAAAGGTCTTAATTACAATGAAAAAGTTAACAGGAAGTTTTAAATAACTGATCAACTGTTCACATTCGCCATCAGTCAGTCACACTTCTTTGCCACCTTTTCTTATTCCCAGAATGGTGAGCCACATAACTAAGGACTTCAAAATCTTTGTTGCAAGATAAATTACTTTTGTCATTAAAGATGGCAATATAAACAAGCTTTTAAAGCAGGTTTTGGGTATGATGTGTAAAAATACTGAAGATGCAAGTCAAAATAAACACATGGCTGGGGAAGGCCCCCTGACTGTTCTTATGTACCACTGGGGGAGTGCAGTCTATCATCCTGGAGGTAACTCACTGGGAAAGGAGCTTGAGGCAGATGGTCTCATCACCCCTACAGCCAGGAAGCAGAGGGATGGATGCTACTGCTTAGCTCCATTAGTTTGTCTGGAAGTTAGGGCAGGTCTTCCCACACCAATTAACCTAATCTAGCTAACTCCTCATGGACATGTCCAGAGCCTTGTCTCCTGGGTGACTCTAGGTCCTGGCAGGTCGACAACCAATACTAACCATCGCATCCTTTTTTTTCTTAGAAATGACAGCTTCATTCTATCCAGGAATCTCTTCTATATTTGTAAATACCAGTGGAGCTTTTTTGTATGCATGTTTCTGGATTCTTTATTTCCATTTGTCTATCCCTACCATGTCTTGATTAGTGTAGTATAGATGTATGGGGAGATTTTCTTTGTGTTTTGTTTATTTTTTAGGCAGTGTTCTGGTGTTTCTGAGACAGTCTTGCAATGTAGCTCAGGCTGACTTCAAAACTCTTGCTCCCCCTTCCTCTGCACGTGTGTGTGTCACCAAACCCAGACTAAGGCACTGGTTTTTGTTTCTAACATGTTGATTTATTTTCTACATTTTTTTTTTGTTGTTTTTTTTTTTTTTCGAGACAGGGTTTCTCTGTGTAGCTTTGCGCCTTTCCTGGGACTCACTTGGTAGCCCAGGCTGGCCTCGAACTCACAGAGATCCGCCTGGCTCTGCCTCCCGAGTGCTGGGATTAAAGGCGTGCGCCACCACCGCCCGGCTATTTTCTACATTTTTAACTATACTAGAATTCCCTGCCCTGCTATGGATTTGTGTGAACTGATCTCCTATCTTGAGACTACCAAACTCTGTCAGCTCAAAGAGTTGTATAGACAATATCGTTTAATGAGGGACAGACTGAATTCCTAAAAGTATTTGCTTTGACTCATCACAGTGGTCACAAGTTTCAGTGATATTCTAAACAGAATTGGATGAACATCATTGCCTGGCTCTTGATCTCAGAGGGCAAGCATTTAGTCCTTTAGCGCGTGCACACGCACACACACAATTAGCTGCAAGTTTGGTTTTTCTTTTCGGTTTTTCTAGACAGGGTTTCTCTGTGTAGCTTTGGTGCCTGTCCTGGATCTCACGTGGTAGATCTGCCTGGTTCTGCCTCCCCAGTGCTGGGATCAAAGGCGTGTGTGCGCCACTGCAGCCTGGCTATTAGCTGTAAATTTTTGTAGGTATGCTTCACCAAGGTACTGGGTCACTTCTATTCATAATTTGAGTTTTTATCATAAATGGACAATGGATTTTGTTGGTCTTTTAAAATATTTTCCTCACAAAGTAATCATGAAGGCTGGGTGTGCTACTGGATTGTGGAGCACATGCATAGCTTGTGCAAGGCCCCAGCCTCAAAATAACAAAAACCATGTATTTCTTTAGTTTATTGACTTGGTAGACTTCATTTATTAATTTTCAATATTGAATCAACTTTTCCTATCTGGACAGAGCTCCCTTGCGCACTGAGTACACTTTTTAAATGTATTTTTGAGTCTATGTTTATAAAAACACATAGGCTAGTAGTTTTCTTTTTCTCTTTGTTTTGGTATTAGTGTAATAACAGTCTTATAGAAACATCTGAGAAGTATTCCTTCTTTTCCTACTCTCCGGAGACTAACATTAGTGTCAATGCTTTTGAATTTCTTTTTCAGGAACATGTAAGTTACAAATACAACTTCTTTAATGTGGTTCAGCAGTACTCAGGCTATCTATTTTATCTTGGTTGAATGCCACAGTTTGTGAGTTTTAAAGGGAGTTGTTCTACTTCTAAGTCACCAAGAGTTGATAAATGCGAAATTGTTCTTAAAATGTCATGTATCTAGACAGTTGCAGTATTTGCAATTTCTTATCCTCCTCACTCTCCAACAGAGACAAATTTGATTTTGTTCTTTGAGACTGGGCCTTACTTTGTAGCCTATGCTACCTGGAATTCACAATCTTCTTGTCTCAGGATCCACTTTCCAAGAACTACAAGCATGTGGTACTATGTCCACCTATCAACGTATGCCTGTACTCTTGTTAGCGTTGTTAAACATTTTATCAATTATATTGTCTTTATTTCACAGAACAAGCTTTTTGCTTCAGCGATTTTCCTTCACTTTCTCCAATTTCGCTGAAATGTGTTCTTATCTTTAATTTCTAATTAAATTTTAATTTTTATGCTTTGAGTTAATATTGCATTTCTTCTTCCCTTGTCTTTTTTTTTTTTGTTTTTTTTTTTGTTTTTTTGTTTTTTTTTTCGAGACAGGGTTTCTCTGTGTAGCTTTGCGCCTTTCCTGGAACTCACTTGGTATCCCAGGCTGGCCTCGAACTCACAGAGATCCGCCTGGCTCTGCCTCCCGAGTGCTGGGATTAAAGGCATGCGCCACCACCGCCCGGCCTTTTTTTTTTTTTTTTTTTTTTTTAAGGTAAGGTTCCTCATAGGCCAGGATGGCCTTGAGCTCCCAATCCTTCATTTTCCATGTGCATGGGATCATAGGCATGTGCTAGCACACTTGGTTATTTCTAATTTCTTTCAGTGGGAATTTAGTAAGTTCTCAGCCAGTGCTGCACAGAAAGGCAAGCATTTATCATGGCTTAAAAACTATGTTCCAGGCCAGAATGGAAACATAGCCCTCTGCCATTCCTATCCTGACTTCTTCCGTGGATGGGGGTGGGGGGTTGGGATGGGGGAACAACCCTGGTGGTCACTTCTTAGCAGAGCTTCCAATCTGCCAGGTTTACTTGGCTTGTCTAGTATTATTGGCACAAATTCCATGCAGCCCATGGGAGGCCAAGTCCACCTGGGCTACCTTCTGTTGCTAGGCTGGCTTGCATTGTGTTAAGACTGAGAGAGACATCCTCCTCCTGGTCTGGTCTGGATGTCTGTCACACCCCCATCACCTTCTGGCTAGCCTTCAGAGTTCTCCAGTGTGTCATATTATCTCCAGGTTTTATAATTGCACTTATCAAGAAGAGACAAATTATTTGCTTGATCGTTCAAGTCATGATATGCACTTTTATGGTTGGAAAACAGGAGTCTAAGAAGACGACTAGGTGGTTTATTAATTTAGGACTAGAGCTAGAACACAGGCTGGTGCCTTCCTAGAGCACCTGTTTTGCCACCCCACACCCGGCACCGACATATACAGAGGTTGGAGGACAACTTACAGGGAGTTGGCTCTCTCCTACTATGTAGGTTCCGGGGATTCAACTCAGATCATAAGCTTTGGCAGTAAATACCTTTATATGTTGAGTCATTTTGTCAGTCCCATACCCACCCCCACTCCTCCAAACAGGGCTTCTCTGTGTCACAGCCCTGGCTGTCCTGCTCTGTAGACCAGGCTGGCCTCGAACTCACAGAGATCCACCTGCCTCTGCCTCCCAAGTGCTGGGATTAAAGATGTGTGCCACTACCGCCCGGCCCCATAATACTTCTTTATGGCAGTGAAAGTAGTGACAGGGCTTCTCCGTGCAGCCCCAGCTCTCCTGGAACCTCATCTGTAGACCAGGGGGTCTCAAACTCAGAGA